AGTTGGGGGGGGGGGGGGAAGACATGAAATTAGCTTCAGACGGGTGGAAAAGTTCAAGGCTAAGTGGCCCATCCACCACAAGTACATCCCCGATATTGTGTACATTAGGATCAGTATGCCAGTTAAAAAGTTTATATTCATATTTTTTATTTCTGTAAATAAATAATTTTAAAGTATACTTGGTTGATATGTATTCCTTGTAATGCATTAAGATTTTCCTGATTTTATTTATTTAAGAAATTCATTTTTTAACCGGTATGCAAATATTTTCTGAATTTTGACATGATTTAATAGTACATTATGCTTTGAGAAAAAAAATTTAATATTTATTTAAATATGTAGCTCCAACTATCACTAAACACCCTGAAAATGTGACCGGTGTAGAGGTCGGTGACCTTGTGGTCTACCATTGTCAAGTAATCGGTGAGGTTGATGAAATGTGGTGGGAGCAAAATGGACAGCGGATATATATCAGAAAAAGGGAGAAAATCAAACTGCAGAATGTGAGTCTGGCAGATGCAGGCACGTACCAGTGTGTTGCAAGAAATAAATATGGAACAGTTAGATCAAAGAAAGTTGTGCTTGTTGTATATAGTAAGTGGAACATTTTATTTCTATAGGCTTATGTATGCGCTAAGGATTGATAATGGCGAATATATCACTCTTTGAAGGTGAGATTCCCTTACACCAGAAGAACATAAACACATGATGCCTTACACAAATTAAATCTCACATAAGGCTTGGAGTTGTCTTGGTAATGAGAAGATATCCTGTTGTTACCATGACTAGAACTTTTAATCTTCTTATCTTGTCTGCAGAAACCTTCGACATTGGCAGACTTTTGACCACTAGGGCAGGCCCTAGAAATATCCGCTCTGGTCTAGTCTGGGAACAATGAAAACGATGATAAATTCACTTGTATACCTTGTGGCGGTGGTAGAATTGGCGTTACCCAGGGCCACGATAAGGGCGCTTCTACCATGACATTGTAATAAAATGTGTAGATGAAAATGGTTCCCTAATATTGAAGAAATCAAAATAAATTTAATTTATAATTATGAACTAAATTCAAATTGCCATTTCATTTTTTAATCAGTATGGTAATTTAAAATGTTTCTTTTTTTGTTTTACTTGTAACTTCTGTCCGTTCATAATTTAGGTAGATTTTTTTGTCTAGTACAGAAGGTATACCTAGTAACATCTACTAATACTACTACCTTCCTTTCTCATTTAATATTAACTGACCCTGCAAGTTGAACAACCTAGTGTACTGGTTAGTGTAGCGGAAATAATTCATTAACAACAGACATATGATCAATGCATTGCTAGGCGAGGTGTGTTCCATTTCCCAGCCCTCAAGTTGCAAGCATTTAACAATGGGCCAGCGGGCACCAAACTAAACAACAGGCTTTTATTATCTCCTGTGGTTTTTGAAATGTTTTTTCAAGAATTCCAAAATATAAATAGGTATTTGTTTGCTGTACCTCATAGAATATATTTATGGATGATTTATTTTATTTATTGATACTGTAAGTTACACTCTAGATTTGTCACAAAAGTTCCATAAAAACCAACAAATTTCGAGTGTAGGGTTGCTCTAGGTAGGTTTTGAAATTGCGTCATGAAATGTAGGGGTGGGAGGTTAAAGGAAAAGGTAGGGTTGTGCTATCCAACTTTAGGGTTTTTTTTGGTGAATATATTGTGTATTTCTATATAGTAATTTATTTGTGGTGTATTAATTCTAATTACAATATTTGTATTTTTATTATTAAATGCAGTGAAATCAAAGTAATTGGATTTTTATATTGCAATAAATTTTAGTTGCTTTTGTCTTGTACTTATTTAAATACCAAAATAAATAAACATAGGGTTTTTTTTTTTGGTAAATATATTATGTATTTCTATATAGTAATTTATTCGTAGTGTATCAATTCTACTTGTAATGTTTGTATTATTATTATTATTAAATGCAGTGAAATCAAAGTAATTGGATTTATATATTGCAATAAATTTTAGTTGTTTTTGTTGTGATACTTATTTAAATACTAAAATAAAGAAACGAAACATGAGGCAGACTATCTATCTAATCATAAATGAATTTATGAATTTTTAATCAATTCAGCATTCTATTCAGTGTCTAATAATTAGCATATTGTTTTTCACCAAAAGTGCGAGCAAAAATAGTCAAAGGACCAGGCATCAACAATGTAGAATATGGTCAAAAAGTGAACTTAACCTGCGAAGCAATTGGCTTAAGAGACAGCTAAACAACAGCTTTTATTATCTCCTGTGGTTTTTGAAATGTTTTTTCAAGAATTCCAAAATATAAATAGGTATTTGTTTGCTGTACCTCATAGAATATATTTATGGATGATTTATTTTATTTATTGATACTGTAAGTTACACTCTAGATTTGTCACAAATATTCCATAAAAAACAACAAATTTCAAGTGTAGGGTTGCTCTAGGTAGATTCTGAAATTGCATCATGAAATGTAGGGGTGGGAGGTTAAAAAAAAATGTAGGGTTGTGCTATCCAACTTTAGGGGGGTTTTTTTGGTGAATATATTATGTATTTCTATATAGTAATTTATTCGTAGTGTATCAATTCTAATTACAATATTTGTATTATTATTATTGTTAAATGCAGTGAAATCAAAGTAATTGGATTTATATATTGCAATAAATTTTAGTTGTTTTTGTTGTGATACTTATTTAAATACCAAAATAGACAAGACATGAGACTTTCAATTATCTATCTAATCATAAATGAATTTATGAATTTTTAATCAATTTAGCATTCTATTCAGTTTCTAATAATTAGCATATTGTTTTTCACCAATAGTGCGAGCAAAAATAGTCAAAGGACCAGGCATCAACAATGTAGAATATGGTCAAAAAGTGAACTTAACCTGCGAAGCAATTGGCTATCCAAAACCGAATATAGCTTGGAAGGAAAGAGGCAGCTTTGTAAGTATAAAATACTAATCATAATTCAATAGAAAAACATATGTACTCTGATTTTTCTAGGTAAAGCAGGTATTTGATAATGGTATGGTACTCGTCGATTGTTTCCAGTGGAGGAACAAGTCTTTTGGTTAAGGACTTTAAACCGTAGGCCCAGTGTACACATTTGGCTCCTGTCCACGTTAGAGAACCCAGTACATCCTTCGAGAAGAATAGGGGGTTACCGCGGTGTACTGGTCCATTCAGTCCCCTGTTGTTTAATAAATATGACACATAGGATAGTGATTAAGTTCGCTGATTGGCATATCTTTGGCGCTCATGCCTAAAGAAGTGAAACTTAAATGAAATCATTGTAACCTAAATTCAACTAACAAATTCCTAATTTTAAAGGAGTTGCTATGAAATTGACTAAAAATAACAATATAATGCAGCAACTCAGTTTGGATACAATGACTATGATATATATTTTAGCGTAGGCATTTTTTTTATTCTGACACATTAGCCATTCTATAACATCCTGTCTGAAAACATTGTATTTGTTTTTCAAAATATATAAAAACAATAATAAATTTACAATCTGAATTCGAAGCAGGACAACAACATTTTACTTTCTTTGTAAAAAAATATATATACTAAGCCTTATCAATTTTATTTGTCTTTTTTTTAACAGCAAGTGGATTATAGCACTGGAAGAAATTACGATAAACCATATTTAATAGTGACTGCAGTGGGCCCAATAAATTACACGTGTTATGCAGAAAATAAGATCATTATTGATGGAAAGAAGAGAAGGAGTTTCGTGGAAAGTGTTGGTGTCATCAAAATCTCAAATAGACCTGAGTAAGTATCAAGTTGTCCTGAACTGTTTATTTTGAAGGCATGTTTGGTGTTAAGTTTTGTCATATCAGATATTGTACATATGGGTGCGATTTTTACCCCCTATTATGTAACACTATTTGTGCAGCCTGTGTGCCATTTTGGCAGCGGCCCTCGATGTTAAATGAAAAAAATCACTTTAGCCCTCCGACCTAACTTTATGCCCTCTCTGTGCATTTCGCTTGTGTTCTTGAGCAATACACTTTATCTGAATTTGCTTTTCTCCACCGAGGAGTATAAATGGGTACCTGGTGGGGTTGCCTGCTCCTGCGCTGATTACTAGCAGCAACACTTAGCATGTGGATCCAATGACCATGGAAAGAAACTGCGCTTTATAACCGCAAGGAAGAGGCGCATTATAAATGCCCGTACCAGTATTTATTTTAATCTACTGTTTAAAAATTTTAAAAGAATACCGGAAAAAAGCAACACAGACCAATTCAAGGGTATATATTTGCATTACTATAAAAGCTTCTATTTTATCATTAAAAAAAAAAAAACATCCGGTTGTACAGATCGTTATTATCATTAGAAAAGTCATATAATGAGGATGACAATAATAGCTTAATTATCATTGCTGTTTATTATTAGCACTTCTATGTCAAAGTTCAGTTGTGATTATAGTATTAGCATTTTTTTTTATCACATCTCAAATTCAAGTACAAATCTTGTAAACAATTGTCCCAGGTCAAGGAAATTTCATATTTGAATGAAGTATTTTACAGAATTATTTTCTGATGGTGCTAGATTATTGGTAATCATGGTTTTACCATTGTTTGTAATTGCAATACATAGAACCACGAATGAAGGGCCGTTTTCTACGCTACACTTGAAATGACCCCTTTGCTAGTATACGTTTTTTGGTAGAAAATGTTGTTTTTCTCTATATTTTCTGCATGTCCAACAATTTTAATGTAGTTAGAATATATATATTTTTTTAAATATATTTTTTTTATTAACAATGTCAGCCAGTCATGTTCAGATAGCGTTCAAGCATTTTCAACAACTTCACAACAACCTTTTGTTGTTTTGTTCAGCTGTGTAAGAAAGTGGAGCATCAATTTTGATAAACAGTCCATGCCTCCTTATAAGTTCACAAAGCGGAAGATCACATTAGCCGCATTCCTTGACACAGATCTGTCAATAACATTTGCTGGTTTTTTTTGTGGATGCATGGAGATTAATAGTAGTAGACTTTCAATCCCAAGGTAGTAAGTTGAATTCCTAAGGTAGTTACAGTTTTTTTTTTGGTCAAGGATTTATGTAGGTACTCTGTGGCCCTCATTGATTTGCTTTCTGTCAATATTATATTAAGGTATAGAACTATTTTTTCTAACCCCTGACCTCAAGGTTGAGAGTCCAAGCCACAAACGATGCGCCAGCCTCTTCTACCCTTGGTTGAATTAGTCAAGACAAAAATCCTTTCACAAAAAAAAATTGTACTGATCAAGTATAAGAAGTATTTCTTAGATTTTCACGGGTACAATCTGTTTGATAACGTTCGTAAATGTTGGATAACTTTGAGCCAAGAAAATTGAAGAGACAGGGTCAGCATATTTTTGCCCACGTAATATTTTTCTAATTTCATAGGCTTTGGTAATTTAGTTTCGTTTAGTTTTGGTAGTAAGTTTTTTTCCTTTTCGTTGATGAATGAGCAGCCCGTTGGAATGCATTCCCAACTACAAGTTAATGAATCAAATTACTTATTTAGTCCTCAGGGTTACTGTAGCTTGTACCACGGTAACGTTTGCTCACCATATCTACGCCGTCGCTTCGTTTTCTACAACACCAGCATACCTAACCCACGCACGGTAATTGACAGTACAGTGCTAGAAATAAAAGGTGGCCTGGATAAAGTTAGTGATAACTGTTACGAACCAATGTTGAAAATACTCTGCCACAAAGCTTACCCGGACTGTGATCAAGTGATGCCTGGCTTACAGCTTTCAAAACCCCTTTGCAGGTATGATTATCAACCAATGTAATCCTTTTCAATCTGGCACTACCATTGCAATGTGGCTTCAGCCTTTTTAATCACATTCACTTGCTAACATCAATCATGCTGTTGTACTAGGCACAGCCATTTTATTTTTACTTTAAACTTTGACCCAATATATCAGAAACCTAATTATGTCACAAAGTTTAACATTAAGTACAGCAGAGCATAGGTTTGTTCTATATTCAGGCATTATATACAATTTTGAAATTTCAATAGAATACTAAATAAAGATAAAGAGATGATTTTAATTTATTACTCAAGGTGTATCTGCAATGCCCCACACTATACTTAATGGTAAATTAAGTTGTCGCCACAAAACCCTACAACTGACCAGGGTTAAGACCATAACTACATTACTTCGAATCTATTGCACTGTCAACCATAGACCGCAAGTTCACCATCGTGTAATCAATTCAATACATATTGTTTTAAATCTGCTTACAATAGTTTTGATATCTGCTCAGATTTTGTGTTCACATCATAGTAGTAAGTGCAGTACACTCTAACATGTGCTATTTAACCCGATGGATGGTTATATTTTAACCAGCACTGAGAGATTTAATGTGGGCTCGACAACAACTAGGTAAAATAAGTAGAAATTTAACATGTAATTTACAAAGTTGTTTTATGAAATATTGTTATTTTGTTTTTTTACTGTTGGTTTACAGAGAGGAGTGTTATGCATTTAAACTGATGTATTGTCGAAATGAGTGGAGTAAGTTCTTTAACAGTCTCACTGTGAAACATAAACAGTTAATCCAAATACCGGATAACTGTGGAGAACTTCCAAGCAAATTCAACAGTACCCCTGACCATATTCAGTGCTCCGATTCTGATATTCTCCGTAAGTACTTTTGGTAATGAATGGAATCATGAATCGTAAAACCTGTTTTCCAATAAGCGAATTTATTTATGCTAAGCGAAAGTATTTGACCATACACATGATTGTTTGCTTTCTTTGTTTGTGGTTCTTCGGTTTGGCAAATTTTGGCATCCGGATGCAAAGTAAAATAATACGTAGCCAATCAGAGCTCGTGAAAAGATTTGAACGCATCCATAAGGGCAGAATCAAACCGATGAATGTATGCATACAAATGGCACGCTGAATTGTCATTTGCAACGCGAAAATTTGTGAAAAATTTATATCACAAATCTCATTTTCGTGTAGTGGGAAATAAGAAAACACTGGCATGAATTTTCTGTCGCGCAAATAAATTTGTTTAAGGGAGAACCACCTTTACATATTGTCCTGTATGATAATAACGGTGTTGAAGCTAGCTGGTTCACTGTAAAATATATTTCAGAATTAATACCCTGCAAATGCCACCATCAAGTCGGTGTCTGCCAAATGTCTTGTATCAGTATTAGTTGAAATTATACTGTTTTTTTGTTTGTTTTTTTTTTATATTTGATGTACATAACTTCTATGAAAATGTGGGATATTTTAAATAATTTGAATTTTTGGACAATTAATTTGTTTTGCAGAGCTTCCTGATGCCGATGATGTCACAAGTGAGTTGAATACCTCATGCACTCTGTCTCACCTGCCTAAATAACCCTTGCATACACCTGACCTCTAACCCGAGCTTTAAAATACGTTAACTACTAATGATTATTGAATGTTTTTTTTTTTGCACACTTGTTTTAGATAATCCATAATTAACATTCTGTTATCTTGTCAGATGTATAATGTAACACGGTCTACATTTATGTTTAACATGTTTTTGTACCTTGTTTTTGTAGTTGTGTGTTGCTATCTGTCATTTTCCTTTAATAGCAGGATTCAAATCATGTTATTTTGATGTGGATGCTTAGGGAAACATTGTTCCTCAGAGTAGATGCTGTAGATGCGCAATAGTTTCAATATCTTTTCATTAAGCTTTTAATTCCCTTCCTTATTTTCAATAATTTCTTTATCCCATGTTCATTATTTTTCCCTCTGTGTTTGTATCAGTCCTTGCTTTCTTCAAAGTTCCTGTTTGAGAATGGCTGACTTCTATTTAAATTACACCCCCCCCCCCCAAAAAAAAATAAAAAAATAAATAAATAAAAATGAAAGCTGTTGTAGTTGTGTCGAAAAGGATATTCTGTTACACTCTGGCTTGTTGAACCCATGCTATGTAAATTATAGTGTTATGTCTTCATGTCAAAACCTCTGCGATTTATGTTATTTTCTGTGAAATTCACGCACAGCTGTTTTTTTATTTTAACTACTTGCATAGTTTTACTTTGCTTTAAATTCAGAGATTAATCCAAACATTTACAACTATATTTCACAGAAGACACAAAAGTAGATAATAGAACTATGATTAGCAGTGGTTGTATCACGTCATATAGTAGAGTGCTGTGATTGAATTACAAATATTCTCTACTGCTTTCTACTTCTCTAGCTCCTTATTCTATCTTCCTATCCTTCCATCTTCTCATCTCTATGGAAGTAGGTTATCTGGATTTTAAATCTGGTTATCATTTTTTAAGTATGAATATTGTTGTATTTTCATGTTATCAGATCCTTAAAAAAATAGAATCCAGTCTCCAGCTATCATAACTCGCCATTCCTGTTCCTCTTCATTCACCTTGCAGTTGCTTCAAAATGATCTTCGAAAAGAAATCTAGGCAATTTGAAAATTTTAATAGAGTACAGTACCATAGCTTTTTTTTTTTAGGTTGCACTTTCTAACCAGATTCAGGTATATTTATTGTCAAAAAATTCTGTTTGGGTGTATCCATTTCAACACATACAGCCGCACTGCTTATCAACATTTACTTCAGTATGTTGTTTATTTGTGGAGAAATATTAACTTGGGTTTCTTACTTCTATGTGTTATGATCAGTATGATTCTGTCATCATCTGTCATTTTTGTTGTACTTTAATCATTTTTGTTCACAAATAACTTGTAATTTATTTACTTTAATTATTATTTACATTTCATTTGCTGTGTTAAAATGTACAATTAAACTGTTTAAAAGTGTGTGTTTGTTTTTTTATGTATATTTTTATTATTGTTTGCATTTTAGTTGTTGTGTAAAAATGTACAATTATGTGATATTTGTGTTATATGTATGTTTAAATAAAAACAAATTGTGTCTGTCTGTATTTGTTTGAATTCAGCCATTACTGTACTATAGTTTATAACAAAATGTTAGATCAAACAGCTTAGTAGTACCAAAATAGCAAAGAGGTCCAACTCTCTAATTTTGCATGCACACAATAAAATAAAAAGCAATGTACCACCATGAGAAGGGGGAGGCCTATTAGAATTTGAGTAGCGTTCGAAATTCAAATGCTAGTGCACATTCAATATGAATAAGTTTTACGTATATGTCATCATTTTAAAGGACGCCCTCTAGTTCGATATACGATTCCGTTTCAGAGGAACCTCAGCTATTCCTAACTCTTTGGTAGAACAAGCAAAAGTTTTATAGTTTGAAAATAAGATGTTTTGTCAATTTTTTTTTTATCTTTATTCAGAAACATGTTATAATGAATCAGGGCAATACTACCAGGGATCCGTCAACTTCACCCAGTCTGGGCTTGCGTGTCAACCATGGGAAGCACAGGTAAAAATCAATTTTGTTTGTGTTTTTTCCATAACATACACATTAACCATATTTCATACAGGGTCAATGGCTTAATCATAATTTCTGAAGACTTTGCACTATAAATTATACTTGCAATCAGCCATGCATTGATAGCTTACAAGGACAGTTGTGAATTCGGTGGGTGAGGGGGGAGTTAAAACCTGTTGAAAGGTTAAAAGTGATAAGGGTGGAATATACCTACCAACTTTGTTGACATCTGATGCGCTAGCCAAAAAAACTAAAATTTGTATATAGTGCCCTCTATGCAGAAAATCAAGAAATACATCACCCTCTATGTGATTTTTTTTTTTATTGGGGTTGGAACTGTTACTGATTACAGTCATCAGTCGGTATAGCTTCGTTAAAAAAAATTTATAGGACCTGTATTCACATATTAATGAGGAATTCACTCCATTTCACGTAGGTTGTATTATCTCATGCATCATAAAGATTGATAAATGAAATTTTATAGTATAATTTGTGTATACATTTTATCTTTTATAATCACTTTTATGATGCATGAGACAATACAACGTAGGCGTGAGACTTAAAAAGTGGATGCTCATGCGTGAGACTCGCGAGAGAGTTAACAGGTGTTGTGGAATGAGAAACATCCCAACTGTAAAGTTCTTTCAGGACAAATACCTGTGGTTTGCACAGGTGTGCTGAGACATACATAATTATCTTGAAACAAATTAATTTGTTTATTTTGCTATATTTCCAGCATTTTATGAATCACAACATGCATCCGGAATTATTCAATGCCAGTAACTTTTGTCGTAATCCCAATGGAAAGTACCATGCACCGTGGTGCTTCACAGAAATCATTATGCCCAGATGGGAATACTGTGCTATTGATAGATGCGGTAAGGATGTTAAGAACATTGAACTCGTTTTACTATTTACCAAAATTTACACATTATGGTTACCTTAAATATGTACTGTCCCTTAAAAATGACCAAAATCATAAAAAATAATTTTTAAATTAACTTGCTCATTTTGCAGGAACATACAAATTATTAACTTGAGCATAGAAATTATTAAATTAAAAAAAATATGTTCCTTGATTTTTTAACTGGATAATTATAATAAAGTGATTGGAAGTGTTTCTATCATTTTTTCGCTGTAAAATGGTTTTTATTTGTAAGCATTTTTTAAATACACTAATTTCTATGTTCAAGTTGATAATTTTTATGTTACTTCAAAATGGGCAATTAAATTTGAAAAATGATTTTTATGATTTTTTTTTTTTTTTTGCAAGGGATAGTACATCTTTAAAGCTATTCCTCATTGTCATATTTAGTGTACATTAATTTAAGCATTTGGAATAGAGAGGTGTCCCAAGTCGGGCCGCCCACACTCCCGCAAGCAAGATCTCCTGGAAAATAACTAACCACCCGCAAATTCATAATATTTGCAGCAAAATGAAATTATATGCGTTAAGAATGCTCATTTAACCAGATCTCCTGGAAGTGGTTTCTTTTATCTTGGAACACCTGGGCAGTGGTATGTCTTCTAGTTTCTAATCGCAGGATAGAGGTTTGTCCACGAGTGGCATATTTAGGAGTTTATAGAAGTAACGACACTATTAGAGGAATGTTTTTATACCAAAAATCCCCACGTTTCCCTGAAGTAAACCACTGCTGGCCTTTTGTCCAGAAAATTGTTTTCTCCAAAAGTTAATATAAATGGTTAGCTGTTAGATTTGAGTGTTAATATAGAGATTTCGCAACCTTACGAATACGAATATGTCATCTTCATTATCGTCATTCATGCCGAAAAATACATTCTTAACAGTATATGTATACAAGCTGTATATTGTTGTTGATTTATTTGAAAGTCATGGATTGCTACGTTGTGTTAGATACACTATTGTATGAGATAGATTGACTAAATTAAATGATGACATACCATATTTGTTATCGTTTTATGTAGGCTTGCGAAACCTCCCTAATATGTTGATTACTAACTGAAACCCGGAATACTCTTCATTTAGCTGAGTATATATACACAGTGTTACGTCACGATACCACGTGATAATACTCGGTTGCTATTGTGGCAAAAAGCGTTCAACCGGATGCCGTTTTCTTCACTGACAAACCATTGATCCCAATTTCTAACGTAATTATTAAGATGTTGTATCTTAGTTTTTCTTTGTAAATTTTAATTGATGATTAAATGTGTGCGATGACTAATATAATGCGAGCTTTTGTGTTTTTAGTACATTTTGATGGTAAAACATTAAATTTTAAAATGCCTATTCCAGAAAGCCTATAAAGTCATTCAGGCTTAATAAACGGTAACTAACGTCCGTTGACAATAGAGAGCATGACACGACAATGCTACATATTGTAAGATTACGAAAGAATGAAGGAATCTCTAAGAATAAACATGTAAGATAAAGAAACTTGACGCTCTGGGTTCACAGTTTAGAGTGCCCTTCTCTCTAGATGTGTATAAGAGACAGGGTAATAGTTATGTGATGATAGCATTATCTGCTACTGTTAACGATTGTTACGAAAAAAATACTTTCTTTTAAATTATCCTATAGATGCAGATGTTTCAGCTACTCGGTTACCGCTTCCACAACCAACAAAGAAATTGCCCTTTGACATCAGCTGGATTGTCATCATATGTTGCACATCTCTTGTCATTATAGTGATCATGATCATTTCCCTCACAGGAATATTGCATGTCAGACGCAACAAAAAGCTCGATAAACTTTACCCCTTCCCGACCAACCTAAACACATCCGAGATTCCGCTCAACCCTATGTATGGAAAAGACTTCTACCAGAGCTTTAACCCTCGTTTAGAAACATTTGAATACCCACGTAACGATGTAATTTATATTAAAGATATTGGTGAAGGGGCGTTTGGCCGGGTGTTCCAGGCCAGAGTGCCGCATCTGGTCCCTGATGAGAAAGAGACAATTGTCGCAGTGAAGATGCTAAAAGATGATGCTGATGCTGACACTATGAGATATTTCAATCGCGAAGCGGAAGTCATAACCCGTTTCAACCATCAAAATATTGTAAAACTACTTGGTGTCTGCTTTGTAGGGAAACCGCTATCTATCATATTGGAGTACATGGGCCATGGCGATCTGCAGCATTTTTTGCGACGTCGAAGCCCCGAAAGAATTTATGAGGGTAGTAATAAAAATGGAATGGTGCTAGACATGCGGACCAAACTAAAAATGGCGAAACAAGTCGCTGCTGGTATGGCATACCTTACCGAGCTGCGATTCGTCCATCGTGATGTTGCAACACGGAATTGCCTTGTCAATAGTATGTTGGAAGTGAAAATATCAGATTTTGGTTTGGCTCGACATCTTGGATCGCGTGAATATTACCTTGGACATAAAGATGAAAAAATTCCAATTCGATGGACTTCTCCCGAGGCATTGTGGGATTACCAATTCACGTATCAATCGGATGTGTGGTCCTTTGGAATCCTTCTTTGGGAAATTTTCACAAATGCCTTGAAACCATACAATGGAATGTCACACGAGGAGGTATTTATGAAAGTGCGGCAAGGCTATCGTTTAGGGTGTTCAAAAGATACACCGAAAGATGTGTACGAAATCATGAAAAACTGCTGGGCTGCTGAAGCATCAGATCGCCCCTCGTTTCAGACTGTATACAGTACGTTGGTAGCACTACAAGAAGCACCTTCTATTCAACAGGCTAATGATTACGCAATTGTCTAATATTATTATCTTGTGTGTAAATATATATGTAATAACAATTAAGACTTGTTACGAATTTATACAATTTTAAAAATAAGAAAAGAATTTACGAAAACTTGCCACTCCTGTGAAGCTTGATGTTTGTTGAGTATTGCTTGTTTACTTTCCAAGGCAAAACAACGCAACTCAACAAAGTTATAAAATCCGTGTGGCCTAAGATTCTCCACCGAAGTGTTGGAAATCATGCAAAAACCTGCACAGTGTACAGTGATATGTATCAGAAAAGGTGTTTCCTACCTTTCAGCTTGTCAGACTTATGCCAAACCTCTAAATGTTCTGGCTGATTTTTTTTTTTTTTTTTCACAAGTTGAAAACAGGAGATCGTGTTACTAAAATTGGTAATACAGGGTTTTCTAGTCTCCCTTCAGTTCCGACAGTCTCCCGGAAACTAGCCCATAAATAAATTCATCACATTTGACCTCTTCGTTGGTTTGATCGCTCGCCCGCGGGAAATTCAGGGCGAAGAAAAAAATTAAACCAATATGATGACATGTTTGAAGATCATACCATACTTTTTTCATACTTTTGTGGTGTGTTGTTAAATTCTTTCGCACCATGCGCTGTAGTTCGTAAGAAGTAAGGTCAGCTTCAACTTCGTTGGTGACCGTCATTTAAGCTCCGCCCACCTGCCAATGCTCGCATTACCATGTTTTTTGTTAGTTGCTTTTTCTCTAGAAACGCGTTCAGAAGGAATTTAACCGTTTATTAAAAACACATGTTTTTGGCGTTATTCAGCAGAAACACGCCCCCAGTGATGGGTATCCCAGTGTACAGCAACAAGAAATTTAGATATGGTAAGAAATCTCATTTAACCAGATCATCTAGAAGTGGCTTCTCCCAAATTGGAAATAACAATTAAATTCGAAAATTTCAAATAAATTATTGAAGGTGCAAATGTACCAAGCACAAAATGTACAATAATGGATATTTGTAATAATAGTTAACTACCACTGACTTACCTCTTGAAGTGATCATAAAGGCCAACTCAGACAGCGTCATATGACGATTTGTCGTCTGGGACAGTCTTAAACTGTTGTAAGAAATATTAAATGTTTATGTTTAATATTCTAAGAAGGGACAGCTCCCGACGCAAACCATCGTGTCTGCATTCAGCACAAACCTGACGCGACAAATCGTGTTGGCCTGTGTCGTACGACACTGTCTGAGTTGACCTTAAGCTATTTAGGCTTCTTTGCCAACATGGTGTTGACAGCTACAAAGTGGAAATTATATTGGGTTTAGTTATTTTGTATTATTGACTGGAATTTGAAGTAGCACAAGAAATGTTATTTTATAAGTAATTTGCTTATGTTAATAATAATATAATGTTAGTCTTAAATATATATACTGTGTACAGTAATGCATAATAGTACAGTAATACTAATATTTCCCCATTCATTAAATCAAAGCTGCATATTAATAATTGTATTTTGTACGCAGAGTCAAGACAAATATGTAAACCGTAGATAAATAAGTAAATTAAAGAGTACTTAAATATTGCAAATACAAAGGAGAGATATGTGCCTTGACATGACAAATATCGTACTTTACTCTCAAGAAAAAAATATAGTTTCCTACTTCCAATACCCTATTCAGACTACACACTGTTCTGATCGGTTGCGATGTAATCGGTGGTAAACTGATTACTCTCAATCGCAATCAGACAACATGAAAAAAACTTATATATTCTAAGCTAGGTCTATGTTTACTGATCTCAGCCAAACAGTGCCTGTGGAATTCATTGTGATTGATTGTAGCACCGGTTGCAATGGGTTACAATTGCGATAACGATTACTTATCGACTACTATTGGTGAGCTTTCACACACAAATTTACTTTGTGATTTGCTGTCACAATTGCTACAACCGATCACAATGCAATGCTGGTCTGAAAGGGGTATTACTCATAACCCATCCATGCTTTTTGTGTTAGCAATCCACTTGAATAGCTGTTATGGAGAACTCTGTGAGCTCTCTAGACTGGCCATAATATTTTTGGTTTGAAGGAATATCAATATCTAATATTTGTATTCATTTTAAAATCTTAAATTATAAAAATCATATTTTAACATTCCACTTCTATGCAAAAATCTGCATTTTAAAATTAGTTTTAAAATTACTGTATAAAGATTACCCCTTGATTTGTTTTATAAATTTAAAACTATTGAAAAGTTACTAATTTTATCATGAATTTTTAAAATTGTATAAACATTTATTAGTAATAAACATGCCTTTTTAAGTTTAATTAAATGTTCTTCCATTAAATATACCTGCATAACTGGCTAATCGATGCAAGCCTCATATACTGTAGGTGGGGTAAGTCAATTACAGAAAAATATGGAAATTACTTCTAGCACCTGGAAAAAAAAAAACTTTACTGGATCAAAGTTGTTAGCACACAAATGTATTGTGATTATTTATTCTTTTACTCAACATCATGTTATAATTATTATATTTAGTACTATTAGTTATTGTTATTAATTATTTTTATTGTATGTAAATGTAATAATATTCAAATTTCAGTCATTAAACTCTCAGTATATTCACATAATTTGATTTTTTTACACTAAATATAGGAAATCTGTTTTAATTTTTTTCTAAATTAACATTACCAAAAAATACATAAAACATGTATCTTTTGAATATTCATATCTTTTAGAAAAGTACAGTATATATTATTGTTTATGTTTGTCTAAAAACGATATATACCACTGAGTTGCTTGTATTTTGTTTTGTTGCCAAAGTTACTAAATTGCATGCGTCGTTAGGTCATGGAATTCATAATAAAAATGATTTCCAAATTAATAGCAGGTTGGCAAAGTATCTATTTGTATGTGTGTATGTATATAATATGAATATAAAAAATGTTTTTTTTTTTTTTGTGAATTCAGTTAGACAAAAAAAAAAATAAATAAAATGAAACATTGTGTTGTGAAGTAAATAACTGCAGTTTGCACTTCCAGTAAAACTTGTAAATAACTGTTAATTTATTATAAGGTGCACAACCATAACTCATTCATTCCTCAATGACATGTTTGTATTCTAGCAGTTAAAGATATTGGTTCTTGTTTCTTGCTTGTGAATACACAGACATACAAGTGCATACATGTTTTTCATATTCTGTTCTGTAGATTTAATAAATAATACATAAACTACCCATTACAATAAATACGAATTATGGTATACCAGATGCAAAATGTCCTATTTATTATTAATGTCGTGTATATTTACAGCATTTTGTATAAAGATGACTATCTTTTTTAAACTTGTTTCATTTTTAAGAAAGAATCCTGCACAAAACCATAAACAACAATCAAGATGGACAGGAAGAAGAAAAACAGTACAAAGAATATACAAAAATTGTACAATCGCTGATTTTTATAAGTACCTGTATACAAAATTAATTTTCCTTTTCATAAATATATATATATATATATATATATATATATATAGGACCATGAAATTTATGCAAAATTCAGACACCATTATGTAAATTCATGGAAAAACAAATATCACTACAACAATATGGAACACAATGTCTTTAAATAATATATTTTTCAATAAGAAAATACATTACATGTATACTTTCCTTATGATTAAGTTAGTAACCCTTGAAAGTAAAGGGAAAATGACATGAATTGTAAAAATTATAATAAAGAGATCAACATAATATAGGGTAAAGAACTATCTTATGCAATCAGGGGCTGGTGAATCCAGAGGACGTGGGTTGCTGGCCGGTTGGGGTTCCCCTTGAATCTGGCACTCGGATATAATTATAAATTCAGAATGTTTCTGCTCAGGTGGTGTGTGGACGTGAATAAGGGCTAATTAAAAGAATGGAGGTTGGGAAGAGGAGGAAAATACAAATAATTATTTATCAATTTGCTACTCCAGTGCTGCTCCCATGGTGTGTGTGGATAATGGTGTTGAGGCGAATGGCTCTTTTTCTATATCACTGAGTCCTCCAATGACAGTATAGGCCAATAGGGCCTACACCACACTTTCGATACGCGTGTGTACCAAGATCAGCATACCTTAAAAGAGAACTAGCAAAATGATTTTTTGTTCTATAGAGGGTTTTTGATATGCCATTAATAATAGAATCAACCTTAAAATCGTTTTTTGGCTTTTTTTTAAATGAAGTTATAGGCGATTATATACGATTTAACCATGACGTCACTGGCGAAAAAGTAACAAAAGATCGTGTAAATAGCGCCGCGTACGATCTTTGCGTGTATGCTGCATAGAGATATAATAAGAATACTAGAGCGCTAACCGCAATGTATTCGATGTTCGAAATACGCAGAACTGTGTGTGTGCACCATCCAAGATGGCTGCCATAGATTTAGCCAATCAAATTTCGCTAAGCACCATCGTTTGCAATTGCGCCCTCAATTTACTCAGAAAGTTCAGTACAGCTAGTTACCATATGTTTGAAACTCGAGCGTTGCGGAGTTTCGGTGTAATGTACACGATTTTAATTTTCATTCCCGGATACTTTATTTTTGAATAAGGTGCTCCACTTGGCCTCCTTTTGGCTACAATAGTTTAATAATTTGTTATTACCATTACTCATTATCATTAATGAAATCATAGTCAGTCAGAGGGCTTATTTACGAAAGCCCATTAGTGCCAATAAAGTATATGTTCAGTAATCCGTAATAACGAAATACTAATTCGTAATTACGGATTACTAATCCGTAATAACGAATTAGTAATTCGTTATTACGGATTACTAATTCGTAATTACGATTAATTATTAATCCGTAATTACGAATTAACGAATTCGTTATTACGGATTAGTAATCTGTAATTACGAATTAGGAATCCGTAATAACGAATTACTAATTCGTTATTACGGATTAGTAATGTGACATTGTTGAAAGTAGTTGTACACTTTATATTTCTGTATTATGTTAAATTAATTAGTTTTGATAATTTTTTTGGAGACGAAACGTCGGCAATTGAACGATACCCTTGTATGTGTTATGTACCGGTATGTTATACAATGTTCAAGTTGTAAAGAAAATAACAATTATTGACGAAAGAACGTGAATTGGATGTGTACGGGGTTTTTATTCTTAAATTGTGTCTAACGTATTCTTTTACATTATTTGAGATTGAACGAGCGGTAACGTTCCTGCTTCTTGCATTGTAGACCCCGGTACAAACCCAAAAATGCATTTATATGATGTGAATTTCTTAGCATGTTAAAAAAGTAGAATATTGCCCTGTGTAGAGCTCAGGCCAACAAGACACAGTTTTTTGAAAGAAAACACTGTACAACAAAAATTAGCTATCAACCGCCACAATATAATAAAGTGGTAAATCATAATTTCAAATCAAGCTTTAGAATGCAGGACTCGCAAAATATCGTATATATTAATCGGCTGTCTCAGTCCATTGGCCATAGTTTCAAATACATAGGATGTCAGTCAATCGGATATTCAAGATGGCCACCACAAAAATCGTTGAAAATTTTTGGTATATAATTCCACCTCTCCTCCACGATCAAAAATGGTAAATCTGGTGTCTAACTATATGTTATTGGGTACGTCACTTAATTCAGTGAGAATGTTTCAAAATGGTAGGATGACAGCCATTTTGAAATTCAAAATGGCTGCCGTAAAACTTCATTTTTTTTAAATTTTAATTTTTTTTGGGAAATAGCTTTTTGAAACTATGTTTATTGGACTCGGATGGCCCAATAACATCTGCTTTGACAACTTTAGGCTTACCATTTCTGATCGAGGAGAAGTGGAATTATTATACCAAAATATTTGAATTTTGACGATTTTTGTGACGGCCAATTTGCATTTCAAATTGGCTGACATTCTACCCTTTTGAAACTATGTTTATTAGACTAAGAGAGCCGATTAATATATGGTTAGACACCAAATTTACCATTTTTGATCGAAGAGAAATGGAATTATATATCAAAATATTTGCTTTTCTACGATTTATGTGGCGGCCATCTTGAATTTTAACATGGCTGCCATCCTAACTTAAAGAAACTATGTTTGTTAGACTCAGAGAGCCCAATAACATGATTGCACACCCAATTTACAATTTTTTTATTGTGGAGAAGTGGATATATACCAATATTTTCAACGATTTTTGTGGTGGCCATCTTCAATTTCAAAATGGCTGACATCCTAGATTTTTGAAACTATATCCATTGGACTCAGAGAACCGATTAATATATGATTAGACACCAAATTTACCATTTTTGATCGAAGAGAAATGGATTTATATACCAAAATATTTGCTTTTCGACGATTTATGTGGCGGCCATCTTGAATTTAAAATGGCTGCCATCCTAGCTTAAAGAAACTATGATTATTCGACTCAGAAACCCAATAACACAGGTTAAACATCAATTTTACTATTTTTCAACGAGAAGAAATGGAATTATACTGTGGAGCATTTAATTTTCGACAATGACGGCAGCCATCATAAATTTAAAAATGGCTGCCATCATAGGTTTTATTATGTTGACGCCTCTAAAAAGTAAGTACTGTAGGCCTAAATGCAGGTGTACTAGAGTTGCGCACGCAGCAAATATAAATTAGCGCATGCGTTGTATGTTCGTTTACATTAGTAACCATGACCGTAGTAGATATTGCCATGGTAAATGATGCTCAATTCGCAACACTATTTTGTTCATTGAGAGAAAAAGAATATTCACTACTGAAATTTCGGTAAATTTACGATATATCACTTTTAGTACTCATTTTACAACATGTCTTGGAAAATTTGGAAATACAGTAGACGCGTTGGACCGGTAAGCTAAATTTTTTTACTAAATTTAGATTTGTTTTTAGAACTTTTTAGACATAGTGAAAATTTAGCCTCAATGAATGTTGTTACTACATGCGTATAGGTGCGCGAGAGGCGCGCTCAGGAGATGAGTTCTCTCAGCAGCCCGGGCCTAGTAGCTAAAACGCAAGTGAGTAGGAAATAGGGACTTGCGCATGCGTATATGTTTGTATACTTTAGTAACCACGACTGTGGTTCGTATTGCTATGGTAATAATGCGCAATTCACGGATTTACTTTTTTCATAGAAAGAGTAAATATTTACTACTGCAATACTTCGGTAAAATTTAGGATATATCATTTTTAGTACTCATTATTTAACATGTCTTGGAAAATTTGGAAATACAGTAAACGCGTTGGACCGGTAAGCTGAACTTTTTACTGAATTTAAGCTTGTTTCTAGAACTTTTCAAACATCTTGAAAATTTAGTCTCATTGAATGATGCGTGTATTATAAGTGTGTGAGAAGACGCCCAGTCGTGAAAGGTGCGTGCGCAGCGAATAGAAACGTTCGCATGCGTATGACATGTTTGTTTACATTGGTAACCATGACTGGTTTCTAGTCCACCAGAAATACGGATTTGAAGCACCAAAGTTGGACATAATTGCAAAAAAACGTTTTTTTATGAATATATATAGTTAAATTTTATATCTACAACATACAAAAAGTTTACCAAAATATACCCACGGGAAAGGTGATTTTTATAGCAAAGAAAACTGAACTATTTCACTGGGCTATTACGCCCTGTGAGGCCTGCCCAGTGTGTGCCGACCCAGCTGAGACTCAGGAGTCGGAAAAAAAGTATGTGATCTTATCAATAGGCCCTATATAGGAATAGGCCTATTATTATATTTTCTTACCTAAAAACACCAATTAAATTTTATAGCTAATACAATAAACCAAATGTTTTTGCAAATAGTGTAAAATAATTGTTGATATTTTAAAAAGTATAATAATGACTGATAATTGATTTATTTGAAATAGGCCTACTATTCTACTCTCTTCATATAAAAAAAAATGTTGGAAATCACGTAAATTCAGGATTTGGTGCCGAATTACTGTATAATGCCTGTATAATGCCTTGTCTTCTGGTGAATAGCATGGACGGGGGTGACAGGCGACACGTACCCCAACTATTTTAAGGGGGTGGTCCCCATCACGTTCCTAAGGAAGTCAAGAATATACCTGGAAATTGTAGAATTGAACTGCATAAATGACCAGATATTAACGAAAGACCACTTTACAGGCAGATAACATCTTATTTTATAACAAGATACCGGTGTTTTCTGTCCACAAACATCTGAATTAACTGTAATACATGACTCGAGTGCGTGCCTCTATTATACAAGTATGATAAAAAGTGTGTAAAGA